AATCGTGCAAAATTCTTTTCTAACAAATTAATAGTACCAATGGGAGGATCAATCGTTGAGAGAGTATAAATAGGGAGTGATTGAAGAACACTTTTGATCAAAACAGTTTTACCTCCGTAGGTAAGCATCTTACCATGCCAACCATTGAGTCTTTTTACCACTTTTGTAACCATATCATCAAAGTAAGAAATCTTTTTCCTACCAATATAGATCGGGCAACCCAAGTAAGTAAAAGGGAAATTCATTTCCAAAAAAACCAGTACACTGTCTCATCATGTTGATTCTGTAAGCACTAGCCTTAGGGTTAGTAAAAAAATCTTTTATTCTTATTGACTTCTTGCCCTGAAGCTTTCTCATAATTGTTGATCTGTTTCATGATGAGCTTAACAAATTTACTCTTACCACTACTGAAAATAACAATATCATCAGCATATGCTAAATGGTTAATCTGAGGACCTCTTTGATGCATCGAGAAAAGGATAAAATTATCATGAGTATGTAAACTATTCAAAGTTCTAGAGATGACCTCAGCATCCAAAATAAATAAAGAGGGGGACAGAGGATCACCCTGTTTTAAACCTTGAGCAGAAGAGAAAAAAAACCATTTCTAGATCCATTAATCAAAATAGAATACCACACATTAGAAATTAAATTTCACACTAAATTTATCCATCTATTTGAGAAGCCAAATCTTCTAAGAACATCCATTAGAAAATTCCAACTCATTCTATCATATGCCTTTGCCATATCTAATTTGATGACAATATTACCACCAGTATTATGCTTAGACATACCACGAATAATTTCTTGAGCAAGCATGACTTTTTCAGTAATCAATCTGCTCGGAATGAAACCACTTTGATAAACAGATATGAGTCTATGTAAAATAGGATTGAGCCTTCTAGCCAGAATTCTAGAAACAATTTTGTTAGAAAAATTACTTAATCTAATAGGCCTTAATTCAGAAAAGTTAGAAGGGGACTCAATTTTAGGGATAAGAGCCAAACACATGTGAGTAAAGTATTTAGTGAGTTTTTTTCTAGAGAAAAATTCAGCAACAAAGTCACAAACATCATAATATCCCAACATGTATGAAAAAACTTACCATTGAAGTCATCAAGTCCTGCACTACTATTTGCACTCATACTGAACACAACATTTTTAATTTCATCCTCTATGGGTTCTCTGTGAAGCATAATCTTTGGTATGCAATCCAAAGTGCCACTGTCCAGGTTAGGTTGCCCCATATTGGAGAGATTCTTGTAATGTCTAATAGCAGCCCTTGCAATGTTGTTGTCTCTGTGGTCTTTGATTATGTGAGTAAGATGATGACTGATATATACACAAAGAAGTGTTTTTGCCTCGATAATTATCTAACAAGAGTGTTGATGCAAAAGTAATTTTTTTCTTGAGAAAATATCAGATTAAAAAAAGTCTCGTACATGTCAGTTTATTCTAAGCCTATAGGACAATTGATGTGGGCCCACCCTCATAATTTCCACGTCAATAGTCAAGATGACATTATTAATTATTTAACTCTACACCATACTTACTTGTATGGAATATTTACATAAAATCAGGTAAATTTAATATGGTTGAGTAATTTAATGATATGAGAATGCATGTTTATTAACTTCAACTAAGTGTTAAAAATATATACGTAAATAGATGTCATGCATTTATTGACGTAATTTTAAGTTTTTATCTAATTTGAATGTGCATGGTATATAATTTACTAAACACTGTTTCAACGATTTAAACTCGAAATAACTTTAAAAAGATTAATTTTTTTAAACCTTTTCATGGAAGCTCTCACCTTTTTACTTCACTAATTACTCGAATCCATAGTCTTAGAATTAGAAATACAATGTGATTACCATATGAAAAGTACTTTCAACTAATTTTTAAATATATATAAATTGTCTCAAAAAATCAAATATTTCATGACCGAATACACAATCAAAAGCAAAAGGTTTGAGTTTTCAAAAACCAATTGAGTCATGTAAATTGAAAAATAGAATAATATTTATGCATTTAAATTCTTCATGAATAGATTATAATTCAATATTGTTAATAGACAGCACAATTTACTATAATAACAATATATTTAATATAGTCCTGCAAAGTGTGATTTGAAAGTGATGAAGTGTATGATTGTATGTAGATCTTATCCCAGTTACGAAGGTTGAGAGGTCTTATTAACTCATTCTAATTTTACCGTCCCTAATTCAATTCAACCCGCCCATTTGACATCTCTATCTAAAACCATCTGAACAATGAATTACCTGGCCCCAACTATAGATTCTAAAGTACCAAGCAAACTCATAGATATGTTTTATTTAAAAGATATTAAAATTGACAAATTAATTGAGAAATTGTAATTTTCGAAACATCATCATCCTACTCCAATTATATTTGTTCTGCTTTCTGATTTTGTTTTGAAAGTATAGATACTTTTTTCCCATCATAACCATATTTTTCATTCTTGTTAGGTGAAAAGTCATACTCATGGAAAGGACTTTTGATTCTTTTTTTCCTTCTATGGCTGTTCTCTTTTGCCTCAATTATTGACTCTTGTTGTTGGGTGAAAAGAAAGACCATTAGCAAAAGAGAGAGAGAGAGAGATTGAGAGAAATCAGTGATCATTCTTGTTTGCAAATTACTCTTAGCATTCAACAGGTAAAGTAAAGTTGTTAGTAATTGAACATACAAACATTTATCTTCTCTACATCATTTTGTGTTCTCCTTGTTTTGCTTTGCAGATTTCAGAAATTAACTTAAATCTAATATAAAAATAATATAACCTTTAACTTGGCCTCAACTCATATATATGCCCTCCAACTTTGGATGTGCGCAGGTAGACACTTAAATTTGTATAAAGTTAAATAATTAGACACAAACATCCTAAGTGACATCTTACATGACAATTTTCATCTTACGTGGTGTCCTGTGTGTATTATGTCACGTAAGACTCATATGTCTATTTGTTCAATTTTATACAAGTTAAACTGTCTACTTGTGCATACCAAAGTTGGAGGACATAAATGTGAAATGAAGTCAAGTTAAAAGCCATATTATTCAAAATTCAAATTTCATAGGGTTTGAAGTTTCAATTCCATTGATGGATAACGTTACAATTTTAGTGCAACACAATGGAACTTGAGATTCAAACAACCACTATGACCAAAGAACAAAAAAAAAACGGCTAACCGAGAGTCCTTGCCCGACTAAAAGAAAGGGTTTGTTGGTAGAATGGGGGTAGGCCGACAATTTTTCCAGATAGATCGAACTATTGAAAGAAAATAAAAAAGAAAGACCGAGTGTTATCTCATTGATGCAATTCTAGTCAATTCCACTTCCAATTCATAGATCTAGTCACAAATTTACCTTTTTATCCTTGGCGGAATGTAATGGATGGTTCTAGATATATGAAGAAAATGTTTTTATTAGTGTACATTTACTTATTTACCCTTGGTCTTTCTTTGTCTTCACATTTCTGTATAGTAGAAAAATACAAGAGGTCATTTCTAGATAATTTAACATCTAAAATCATCCAAACAATGATCTACCTAGCCTCAACTATTAGCGAGTTTTAATTATTATTATTTCTTGATCCGATTTTGGTAACGATAGGTTCTTTGCTTAGTTGGCGGAAGTTTTATTTCCAATATAAATATGTGAATTTGGTGGTATGTGGTCCCCAGAAAACTATAGGTCAACTCTTTTTCCCTTTTTAAAAATGGGAATAATACATAAACATTTCTTAGTACACGTTAGAACGTACTACAAACTTAGAATAATTATTTAATTCTACACCATAACTCTACGTTATTGCGACTATACCAAAAAGTCAATCCTCTCAATTTGAAACCATCCATTTATTCCAACCTACCCAATAAATTAAAGCTTGAGGCAATCCTCCCAATTTGAAAAGTCTTTTGTCTAAACATATGACATGTATTTATTGGTTTATTATAAATAACAAATATTCCTTTTGTCTTTAATTACTTGTTCATTTTTCCTTTTTTAGTTGTCCTTAATTACTTGTCTATTTTGACAAATTATTTTTACCTATTATACTATGAAAAAGATAGAACTTCATGAAAATCTTAAATTTTTAATTCTTCCACTTCATAATTAATAGGGATGAAATGGTAAACTCACTATTGTTTTCTTAAGAGGTGTGTACTTTTTAAAATTTTGTTGAATCTTTACTTAATATTTCTATTGAGTTAAATATTAGACATTGGTAGCTTTTGCTTAGATACCTATTATTATCAAGGTATGTGGTCCCCACCAAACTATAGGTCAACTCATTTTTCCCCTTTTTAAAATAGGAATGATACATAAACAATTCTTAGTACACGTTAGAACTTAACATAAGCTTAGAATAATTATTTAATTTTACACCATAACTCCACGTTATTGCCTCTATACAAAAAAAAAGTCAATCCTCTCAATATAGCTTGAGGCAATCCTCTCAATTTGGAAAGTCTTCGTGTGAACATATGTCATGTATTTATTAGTTTATTGTAAATAACAAATACAAATAAGTTTTCACCTAATCTGAATTTGCTTGGGATGTTTTAGCTCATACTATCAAGAGAAACTTTATCACAATGATTCAAGCTTGAAACCTCGAATTAAATACGACAAAATTATATAAAACAAAACAACTACAAGGGAGAACTTTCAATCATTTCACTGTACCTCTTGATATCAAATTCCAAACTTGACGTGTTTTCAAGTATAAAAGAATATTATGAAGACAAAATCTGGTTGTTGGGGGGAAAAGTCATACTCATGGAAAAGACAGCTTAAATTCTTTCTTTTTTTTCCTATAGCTGTCACTGTAGAAAACTATTGTTGTACCATTCTTGTTTGCAAATCACTCATAGCATTCAACAGGTAAAGTAAAGTCGTTAGTAATTGAACATACAAACATTTGTCTTCTCTAAATCATTTTGTGTTCTCCTTGTTTTGCTTTGCAGATTTCAGAAATGGAGGTTGGCTTAGCAGTTGGCGGTGCATTCATCTCTTCAGCTTTGAATGTTCTCTTTGATAGGCTTGCTCCTCAGGGTGACCTGCTGAAGATGTTTCAGAAGCATATGAATGATGTTCAGCTCTTAAAGAATCTGAGAATGACATTGCGTGGTCTTCAGATTGTGCTAAGTGATGCAGAGAATAAGCAGGCATCAAATCCATCTGTGAGAGACTGGCTTAATGAGCTTCGAGATGCTGTCGACTCTGCTGAAAACTTAATGGAAGAGGTCAATTGTGAGGCTTTGAGACTTAAGGTGGAAACAAGCAACCAGCAAGTAAGTGACCTCAACCTTTGCTTGAGTGATGATTTTTTCCTTAACATAAAGGACAAGTTGGAAGACACAATTGAAACATTGGAGAATTTGCAAAAGCAAATTGGTGACCTTGGCTTACAGAAACATTTTGGTTTGACTAAACAAGAAACTAGAACACCTTCAACTTCTTTGGTTGATGAATCTGATATCTTTGGTAGGCAGAAAGAAAAAAAGGATTTGATTGACCGTTTATTGTCTGAAGATGCAAGTGGAGGAAACCTGACTGTAGTTCCTATTGTTGGAATGGGCGGCGCGGGTAAGACAACACTTGCTAAAGTGGTTTACAATGATGAGAAGGTGAAGAACCATTTTGGTTTGAAAGCTTGGTATTGTGTTTCTGAGGCATATGATGCTTTCAGAATAACGAAAGGGTTACTTCAAGAAATTGGCTTGGTGGTTAATGACAATCTTAATCAGCTTCAGGTCAAATTGAAGGAAAGCCTGAAGGGAAAAAGGTTTCTTCTTGTCCTTGATGATGTGTGGAATGATAACTATAATGAGTGGGATGACTTGAGAAATGTTTTTGTACAAGGAGATATGGGAAGTAAGATCATTGTAACTACACGTAAGGAGAGTGTTGCTCAGATGACGTGTGCTAAGAAGATGGATCGTTGTGCAATCACTGTGGGGACTCTGCCTATTGACGACTCTTGGGCTTTATTCAAACGACATTCACTAGAAAATAGGGATCCTGAGGAACTTCCAGAACTTGAAGAGATTGGAAAGCAAATTGCAGACAAGTGCAAAGGGTTGCCTTTAGCTATAAAGACACTTGCTGGTATTTTACGTCGCAAATCAGATGTGGATGAGTGGAGAGACATTTTAAGTAGTAAAATATGGGAGCAGCCAAGTTGTTTGAAGGGTATATTACCAGCATTGATGTTGAGCTACAATGATCTTCCTCCAGATTTGAAGCGATGTTTTGCTTTTTGTGCAATATATCCCAAAGACTATCAATTCTGCAAAGACCAAGTTATTCACTTGTGGATTGCTAATGGTCTTGTACAGCAGTTTCGTTCAGGTAATCTGTACTTTGACGAGTTGAGATCAAGATCACTGTTTGAAAGGGTCCCAAAGTCTAAAGGGAAATCGGAGGGATTCTTAATGCATGACCTTGTCAATGATTTGGCCCAAATTGCATCTTCAAACCTTTGTATTAGGTTAGAAGAGAACGAAGGATCTGATGATATGTTGGAACAAAGTCGGCACATGTCCTATTCCATGGGACGAGAAGGTGACTTTGAGAAATTGAAACTACTCTCCAAATCAGAGCAGCTGAGGACATTGCTTCCAGTCAATATCGTCTTTTGCTTTTATCAGCTAAGCAAGAGGGTGTTGCATAACATACTGCCAAAACTGACATCCTTAAGGGCATTATCATTGTCAGGCTATGAGATTGAGGAGTTTCCAAATGACTTGTTTGTCAAATTAAAGCTCCTCAGATTTTTGGACCTTTCTTGGACAAAGATTAAAAGGTTGCCAGATTCTATTTGTGCATTGTATAACTTGGAGACACTTCTCCTGTCATCTTGTGCTGATCTTGAGGAGCTACCGCTGCAGATGGAGAAGTTGATAAACTTGCGTCATCTTGACTTAAGCAACACTTTTAACTCGAACTTGCGTCATCTTGACTTAAGCAACACTTTTAACTCGAAGATGCTGCTACATCTGAGCAAGTTGAAAAGCCTCCAAGTGTTAGTGGGAGCCAAGTTACTTCTAGATGGTTTGAAAATGGAAGATTTGGGTGAACTAGAGAACTTGTATGGATCTCTATCAGTTTTAAAGTTACAGAATGTGGTCGATAAAAGGGAAGCTCTGAAAGCAAAATTGAAGGAGAAAAATCATGTTGAGAATTTATCTTTGGAGTGGAGTGAAAACAGTACTGCTGAATTTTCACAAACTGAAATTGACATACTTGATGGGCTACGCCCACACACAAACATAAAAGAAGTTGAAATCACTGGATATAGAGGGACCCAATTTTCAAATTGGCTGGCTGATCCTTTGTTTCTTAAGCTAGTAAAATTGTCTCTTAGCAACTGCAAGGACTGTTTTTCTTTGCCAGCACTAGGAGAACTTCCTTCTTTGAAAATCCTTTGCATTCGAGGGATGCATAAAATAACAGAAGTGACGAAAGAATTTTATGGCAGTTCATCCTCCAAAAAGCCTTTTAACTCTCTTGAGAAGCTTGAATTTGAAGATATGCTGGCGTGGAAGCATTGGCATGTACTAGGATGTGGGGAGTTCCCTAAACTTGAGAAGCTTTCAATTGAAAATTGTCCGAAGTTGATGGAGAAGTTGCCTGAAAATCTTTGTTCTCTGACAGAATTGGAAATTTCAAAATGTCCTCAACTGAATTTGGATACATCCCAACTTGAGGGAATGAAGCAGATTGTTGAATTAAAGATTGGTGATTGTGACCATCTTACCTTACCTTTTAGCAAACTGCCCAGTACCTTGAAGAAAATAAGAATTTATGAATGCAAGGAACTGAAATTGGAGGAGCCAGTTGGTGAGATGTTTCTGGAGGAATTGACACTGGAAGGATGTGTTATGTCACCTGATCAGTTTCTCCCAAGAGCACGCGAATTGAGTGTAGAGTATTGCCACAACCTTACTACGTTTTTGATTCCTACTGCCACTGAAAGTCTCTCTATTTGGTATTGTGAGAATCTTGAAAAACTTTCGGTGGCATGTGGGGGGACCCAGATGACGTCACTGACTATTCATGGCTGTTTGAAGCTGAAGTGGCTGCCAGAACGTATGCAGGAACTCCTTCCATCTCTTAATACACTGAATCTTTATAATTGTCCAGAAATAGAGTCCTTTCCTGGAGGAGGATTGCCGTTCAATTTACAATTACTTGATATCTACAATTGCGAGTTCCTCGTAAATGGACGAAATGAGTGGCTTTTACCGAGACTCAGACAGTTAGGGATCGAACATGATGGCAGTGACGAAGAGATGGAACATGATGACAGTGACGAAGAGATCAAACATGATGGCAGGGACGAAGAAATCGAACATGAAGGCAGGGACGAAGAGATGGAACATGATGGCAGTGACGAAGAGATGGAACATGATGGCAGTGAAGAAGAGATGGAACATGATGACAGTGACGAAGAGATCGAACATGATGGAAGTGACGAAGAGATCGAACATTGGAAGTTGCCTTCCTCTATCCAAAGTCTTACCATAGGCAATCAGAAAACATTAAGCAGTAAAGATCTCAAAAGCCTCACCTCTCTTGAATATCTACGTATTATTAATTTACCTCAAATTCAGTCACTGTTGGAAGAAGACCGGCTTCCCTCCTCTCTTTCTGAGCTATATTTATATTACCATGATGAGCTCCATTCACTACATCTTTGCCACCTCACTTCCCTTCTACATCTAAACATCGACTCTTGCCGTAATCTCCAATCACTCTCTGAATCAGCACTGCCCTCCTCCCTCTCTTACCTGGGGATCTCCCATTGCCCTAATCTCCAATCACTTTCCGAATCAGTACTGCCCTCCTCCCTCTCTCAGCTAGCCATCTATGATTGCCGTAATCTCCAATCACTTCCAGTAAAAGGGATGCCCTCTTCCCTCTCTAAACTAACTATTTTCCGCTGCCCATTGCTCACACCACTACTAGAATTTAACAAGGGGGAATACTAGCTAAACATTGCTCAAATTCCCATCATACATATTGATGGTAAATACCTGTAATGATTAAAACAAATGGTGCTCTGACAAATGTAAGTTATTCTTTTCCCTCAGAAGCATTTTATTTTTGGTTTTCTTCACTTTGCTTTTTTGTTAATTCTTTTCCTTTTTGAAATTTTGTTGAGCAGTGTGGAATGTCTATTGCTCAAACCACGGCTACTGACAAAAAATTGTTGATATTTCCACCATAAATGTTGATTGGGAGAGCCTGTAATGATTAAAACGAGTGGTGCTTCAATAGATGTAAGTTATTCTATTTCCTTAGAATCTTTTCATTTTTTGGTTAATTTTTTTTTTCTTTGTTAAATCTTTTTTACCAGTGTGTATCATCTATTGCTTCTGTGAAGTCAAGGATATATCTTTAGATTAGGATGAAATCTTTATATTTGCATCAAGACATTGTAAAAGTAATCTAGTATAGGTAGGAATTGAGATAATTTGCTCCAGAAATAGCTATAGATCAGGATAAAATCTTCATATCAGCAGGATGTTTATAGCAATTCATTTATTCTTGTGACAAATCTCACTCTTCATCTTAGTTGACTATTTACGACTCACTTTTCTTCTCTATTAACATATGTTCTCTCTAAAATCTTGTAGACTGAAATATTTTTCGCCATCATGAAATAAAGTTCTGGTCATATCTTCACCATAGAAGTCGATGGAGAATACATTAAATGATTAAAACGAATGGTGCTCTCACAAATATAAGTTTTTCTTTTTCCTCTGAAGCTTCCTATTTCTGTTTACTTCCCTTTTTTAAGATCTTGTTGAGCAGTATGGAGGGTCTTTTGCCACTATGAAGCCGAGAAATCATCTTCAGTTTGAGATAAATTTAATTTTAGATAACCAAAAAAAACAAAGGTGATAAAATCTTTATATTTATGTGGGAACACTATAAAACGAAATCTAGTATACATAGGAATTAAAATAACTTGCTCCACAAAATCTTGTTCTTTCCGTTTTCAGTGAGTTTAGAGTTATGCACATATCGACTATTGAATTCAAAGCTTTAATAAAATTCAAAGGTGTACAATACACAAGGTCTGTTTCCTATCTATCAAAAATATATAAAAGTTTGCCTCCCAATAAATTTAACACCTAAAAGCATCAGCACACAGATTTATATATAAAAAATTTTGTCAGGATTCTGGTAACATTATATGTAAGCTATTACCGCTCTAGCTCAGTTTGTAGAAGGAAATTTCTGCTGCAATTCTCTATTGAATAGACTGTTGCTAGAATGTGGTCTGACAACCAAGCGTAAGTGATGACTGTAAACGTGAAGTTTATGCTTTGAACTGTTTATATATAAATCTGTGTGATCATTAGAATGATGTATATCTTTGATATTAATGACGTTTAATATTCTTTTCAGAATATAAATTATGTCGTGCTTATCATCCAACACGTAGCTTTATTTTTATGCTCCATAGAGAATCTAAATTTTAGAAAAGATAATCATGGATAATGATCAGAAGTTTAGGAAATAAGTAAACTTCCATTGCCAGAATTAGATGTTCTATAGACTTGCAGCTTATTGTTGTGCGTTATATATTCTTGGATGGCAGGTATTGGATTGGTTTCTCATTGCTTATTGTTGTGTGTTAAGTAAACTGTTGCAAGATTCTGTTACATCAGTATGCATGTTGGTCCTGACATTTCTTTTCTGTTTCTTGTGTCTTTGGAGTTCTCCCAGAACAGTCTGTAATTATAACACGGGGATTGTCTTAGAGTTCTAAAATTTCTTTTTAATTGCTTTCAGTAAGAAGGTAGTGATTTCCAAGTCGTACAACCGTCTACTATGACTTCCTTCAGATGAAGCATGACTTGCTGCAAATGGAACATACAGCTCTAGTGGAACCCAAAGGTACATCAGAAAATAGTTGTTTAATGTAACACACAAGAGACATATTGTACATTATGGTCATAGATTATAAGGAAAGATATTACTTTTTCATCGTTAGGATTTTGACAAGACTCGATGATCATTTGGGAAGTGAAAAGTTTCGAAGGTTTCTCTGTTCAAGTTGAGAAGCGAAAGTTGTTGAACTATGTATGTAATAGCTTATTGTTGACTTTGGGTTTAATGTCACTTCTTTTTATACCAACAATCAATATCTTTCTTGTGTTTTGTTTCGTCAATGTGGTAAATGTCTAGGATGCTACAATGGTGTTCCTTTTACTCTGGATACCAAGACAAAAGGCAAATGAAAACACAATTATTGGATTTCTGTATTGAGAAATCAGAATTCCTGGACGCAAATGGTTAGAGAAAACTGTAAATGCAATGTAAAATGTATAAAAAACAGGGGAGATTTTGAGGAGTGAAATTTGTTTGCGTAATTTTTTTATGTTATTGTTTTATTTAAAAAATAAAGGGTTTAAGAGTCGCCACTTAATTTTTAAAGAAAAATCAAGAAAACTATTTTTTCAAAAGATTAAAACAGAAATCTATGAAAATATTAAAAAGGGGGTTCTGAGTTCATATTAGCATTTCGAGAAGGGTTTGAAAGCACCCGAAATGTCCGCTAACATGCGGTTATCCGATAATTAACTATTTGGCTAACATTTAATGAAATATGTATACTTGACTAAATAGAGGGAATAAACATCTAAAACTTAAAATCATTTTTTAGGGGAGGGGGAAATATTAAAAATATTATTAAGTGAAATTTTAAAGTAAATTAAGTAGAAAAAAAAAAAGCATGGTTATTTAGAAAATCCCGAAGTGATTATCTTTTTGGGGAAATCGAATTAGGAACTTTAAAATTAGCTAGCAAATAAACAATTGAACAAATACGAAATAGATAAAAGAGAGAGAGTCTTGGGCCCAAGACCGGGTTTTTGTTCGTCTGGACCAGTACTTGGGCCTAATTTTCATTTTGGACCTTTGACCCATTTTGTACCTGTCCTAGGCTAACAAAATAATAGCCAAAACAAATGGACCTTCTAGCCCAATAATTACAAAATACAATTACTGAAATTTTAAGTGGGCTTTTGCCCCTTTTTCTGCCGTATCACAATGTATACAACATGTATACATCCCTTGATCTCACTCCGAACACTTGCATTTCAACTCCCGGGACCCCTTTTTTGATTCCATTGGCTGGCCAACTCGAAAAGGAAAGGATTTGAGCCTTTATAGCTCTCTCGAAGTGCTAAGGGAAGGAGGAGTTCATAGTGAACTCGGACAGATTTCACATGCAAAACAAAATAAGGGAAAGGAGTTAATACATAATTCAATCAACATAAATGCAGGAAGGATAAACTAATTCACAGGAAAATACACACTAACTCAAGAATGTATAACTTAACATGTAATTAGTCCATACAGTAAGACATAAAAAAGAAAAATGACAACTTTAAAGGAGCAATTAAAAGGCCCAGTAGTCACTACTCAAAGTTAATTATCCTTAATTGTGGGCAATGACGAATGCTTACTCATTTAAAATATATATATATATATATATATATATATATATATATATATAAAGTGAATGAATTTAACAGAATTAGGCATGAAGAGATACTTCTTATAATGAAAATCTAAACTAAAGGCAATGAGAAGAAACATTATCTTTTCACACATTATCCAAAATAATAACAAGATGACCAAATTGATTAAGAAGCGCTAACACTATGATTGATGCACACTCACAATACTAAGCGAAATCAACTGCTCGACAAGGTGAAGTTGAAATAACACGCTAACTTGAAACTTCTCAAAAATCCAAAGAAATCAACGAATTAACAGGGGATCTTACTATTGAAGCTTGAAAACGAAATTAACTTGGGCATAAAAAATAAAGGTCAAGCTCGGAAACTAAGTCAAAACAGCCAAGTCTTTAGAATAGTAATTAGTCCTAATAGATACTCATGTTCATTGACACACAAACAGTAACCTCGGAAAAAATAGGATCATCAATACTCGAACAAAGAATAAACAGTTTAAAACATAAGCACATTTAGACATCTTAATATATGAAACACGCTTAATATCGCAGGAAATTCGAATAGAGACCCAAATCACCCTAAAGAAACTAAATGAGAACTAGAAAGACACCAACTAGCGTAGAAAGAAACAAAGTAAAACTTTTAACGTACTAACAAATTTAGTCACAACAGATCAAACCAGACTTTTAGCTGACTTTATGAACCTAATCAGATAAATACAAGAAAGAAACCAACTTGACTGGACGATTTCCACATTTTAAGGAATCATATGGAAATTTACAGCAACCTAAAAAAAGGAACAAAGCACTGAAATGCCCGTCCAAATTCCAGCGAACAAACAACAAACAAACATTTCTATCTATTCAAACACACAAGCGGAAAATAGAGAATGATTAGAGGTTAACAAGAGGTAGAGTTAAGCATAGAGATTTTTACCTTTTTTCGGGCAGCGACGGGGATTCGAGCCACTGAAGACGATTCCACCACCAACCTCTTACTTCAATGAACCCGGAAGGATGACGAACGGGAGGAGAGAGTAAAAAGGAACTCGAAAATTAGTTCTCCTCTCTATTTCTTCGAGTGTATTTTGTATATATTCTCTGTCTCCTTTCAAAATCTCATACGTTGTTCTCTCTATGTAGGTAAGTTTTCGCCAATTCTTTCCAATTTTTCTTCCCAACTCTATTTTCCACTTTTCTCTAAGTTTCTCTGTGAAGCTAGCCTCAAATCCCCCTCTAGCAGCAAAGACAACAGAATATATATAGAAGAAGAACTAGGGCAAATTTGGGGGGAAAAGGGACGAAAATTCGGGTTCAAGGCCCATTTCGAATTCAAAATCGAAAATCTTACACAATTCTGGGGAGGCAATCTTTTCTCTGAAAAATTCACCCCATTCCGGAAAAGGAAAGGGAGATGGACGGACTCGATTGACCTCTCGTCCTTGAGTGCCAACGTGGAGTAATCTCGTGGCTACAAGGACTAAGGCGCAGGTGCTT